CATTTTTATTTTGGCTGAAGTTTTAGTCTTTTTTTTTTTTTTTTTTTGTAAATTGTAAATTGTAAATGTCCATGTAATTTTATAAAATTTTTACTTTAGTTTTTATTGTTTTAACTTTTAATGAAAATGAGTAATAGTTTCTTAAGCTTTCTAAAGTATATATTTATAAAGTAACTAATATTATAATACTTTTTCAAAACTACACTTTAAAATATATTTAAATAAAAAAACAGATGCTGTAATACTACATTACTGATGACATTGCTGTATCTTTCATCAGATACATCACATTAAATGCTTGTTTGGCAATATTTTAAAATGGATATCTGAAAATATTTAATGGAAGTTCCTTTGCAAAATTAACACTTTTTGTGTGTACTGCCTCTTCATGTTGAATTGCTGAATGCCTCATTTGTAAGTCACTTTGGACTAAAGCATCTGCTAAATGTAAATGGAATCTAGCAAATTCATTCATTTTCATTCAGCTTAGTCCCTTTATTCATCATGGGGTCACCATGCACACAAATTCACACACATACGCTACGGCCAATTAAGTTTATTCAAGAGGAAACCCACGCTAAAGCTTGGTTTATACTTCTGCATCAAGTGACCACCGTAACCCACGCCGCATGCAACACAGAGAGAACATGCAAACTCCAAACAGAAATGCCAACTGACTCGGCAGGGACTCCAACCCGCAACCTTCTTGCTATAAGGCAACAGTGCTAACCACTAAGCCACTGTGTCGCTCAATTTAGAATCAATTATACATAATATATGATATTAGCTATAAAATATGTTGCTATAAATATGTTGCTATAAAACATTACACTGCATTGTATTCAGGGGCGAAGTTAACCAATAAGAGACGTATGCAACTGCTTATGGCCCATGGTATTAAGGGGCCCCAACCAATGCCAAGAAGCCTATATTAATCCTATAGCTCTTTTATAATTTTTCTATGCTAATCTGTTATAACCATTAAGATTTTAATGTTATTACTTATTTTCAAAACCAGGGGCCCCATGAATAGTGGAACATTCCTTCCATACTGCACATGCTAATACACAGAAATGCCAACTGACCCAGCCGGGACTCGAACTAGCAACCTTCTTTGTGTGAGGTGACAGTTTTAACCACTGAGCCACCGAGTCACCTAATGTTGACTTTTTCAGCATTATTGATGCAGTTGTTAAGTTGAAATTAGTTTATTTTCAGATTTTAGGTTTTATTAATTTTGGTTAAAGTTTTAGTAATTTGTTTGTGTGTTTTTGTAAATTGTAAAAACATATCATTTTAATAAGTTTTACTTTAGATTACTTTAGTTATTTTAGCTTTAAAAATTATAAGACGGAATGCTTTCTTGAACTATCTGAAGTAAAAAAAAATATTGTTGTTTTTTTATAAACTTTTTTAACAAATAAAAAGGATTTTAGTTTTAGTTAACTAATACCGAGTAAGAGCCAGTGTAATATTATATTAATTCCTAAAGGATTATGAGACATTAAAGCTGAAAAAATAAGTAAAACTACACTTTAAAACATTAAAATAAAAACATTTTACAATCTTACTGGTATCTTTACTGTATCTTTCATCAGATAAACAATATTAAATGCTTGTCTGACCAATTGTACATTTCCCTAATTGTATTAGATATCTCCGGCTGTGTGTTTCCTGCTGTCTCCGGCTGCCAACTATATTACTGGAGCAACCCTGAAGGTGGATGCAGGACAGAGCCTTTACCACTCCATCTGGGAAATCCCAGGTACTCATTATCTTCCAGATCATTTATAAAATAAATACAGGGCATATTTGTGGCTACTGAAGCGGATGTTGACTCATCCTGTTAAGGATTCAGACACTTTCATTTTCTTTTTGACTCTCAGAACACGATGCCTGGCCTGAAGCTCCAGAGGGAGAAAATACAGACGTGCTGAGAGAAATCATGGACAAGACTAAATCCAAGCTGTGAATCAGAGGAAAACAAGTCTAGACTGTCAAAACAGCTGCTCTTCATCAATGTGGGTGGAAGACAAATGCTTTTGCTCGGAATTGTAACACGTCTCGACTGTGGCCTTTGGAGTGAATCTCACTGAATATTTTATTGCGTAATTGAGCTCTAATAGTTCATAAGGAACTGTGTAAATATGTGTAATAATATGGTATTGTGAATTTAACAATTGTGATTAATATTTCCAAAAATAACTTTGATCAGCCATCATTGTAAGATTACAAATATGTAATGTATTTTTAAAAAATACATTTTTTGTTGTGACAACTTTTAAACAAATTCATTAGTTTTCTGGTTCTTTTTCATTTGTAGAATAGCATTTTCGTACAATATTGTGCTAAAAATCGTTATTCTTACATAAGCTAATAAAATACGGTTGCTGAGAGAGCCCAAAAATGCTGTGAGTTAAGAAAACACATGCAAATCTAAAAATACTAACAAATTGAGAAAACGTTATTATAAATTAGATGACAGACACACATGTACGCGAGATCTCACAACACATACAGAAGAATCCTGCAAGTTAAGGAAACATGCAAATAGAAACACACCAACAAATTGAGAAAACAGCATTGGTTTTACAACATGTTTTAAGGCAAATGTTTAAAGAAAAGGCTTGAAAACAAAAAAACTACAATAATTTAATAATATAAAAAATAAGATTTAAATAAATAAGCATTGTAGGATGCATAAATTAATGTCACTATGAAAGCAATTGGATTAAAACAACCCAATACAGTAGCCCTTCGTTATTGGCGGAATTTATGTTCTAAAAATAACCCATAATAGGCGAAATCCGCAAAGCAGTCAGCTTTATTTTTTACAATTATTACAGAGGTTTGAAGGCTGTAAAACCCCTCACTACACCCTTTATACACTTTTCTTAGAGAAGCATTAACATGTTCACACTTTTCTCTCTTGTTTAAACACTCTCAAAGATCAAACCTTCGTAGAAAAATAAATCCAGTATTATAAAATGAGACCGAAGATCCAAATTTTTTGATCTTCATTTATTTATTCCATAATGGCATACACAGTGCGCTGTGGAAAAAAGCATGTTGAATTGCAAGAAAAAATCCACGAAACTATGGTGCTGCGAATAGGGAACCGGGTTACAGCGAGTGACCGCTTGTAATTTTAATTATATATAAACATGATTAAATAAATAAATAAATAAAAAATTTATTTATTATATATTTTTTTTAAAATACATTAATTTCTTGTCAGCTTAGTCCCTTTATTAATCCGGGGTTGCCACAGCGGAATGAACCGTCAACTTATCCAGCAAGTTTTTACGCAGCGGATGCCCTTCCATCCGCAACCCATCTCTGGGAAACATCCACACACACATACACTACGGACAATTTAGCCTACCCAATTCACCTGTACCGCATGTCTTTGGACTTTGGGGGAAACCGGAGCACCCGGAGGAAACCCACGCGAAGGCAGGGATAACATGCAAACTCCACACAGAAACGCCAACTGAGTCGAGGTTCGAACCAGTGACCTTCTTGCTGTAAGGCGACAGCACTACCTTTAAAAATACAAATTTATTTAATTAATAAAACTTGCATCAAAACAAGTGAATACATAAAAATTTGATTATGATGACTGGTAAAAAAAATTATTAAAATAAGTAAATGTATAAAAATATATCTAAACTACTGTAAAAAGTAACACATGTTTATGAACCATTTACAATAAGTTTCACACGAAAAAAACTGGAATTTATACATAAATCATGCATACCTTTTAAAGATGTTTTAGACACTTTATTAAATGTTCATTTACTATTAATTCTGTAGTAATTGAATGAGGAATATGCATAACAATTTTATCTTCAATTATTTAGAAGTTATTTAGAAATTCTAAGAAAGATTTGGGAACGGTGTTGATTTTGTTACTTGAGGGAATATTACAAAAAAGTCACAAAAGGTATATTTCAGCAATTCCATGCAAATGCCTTGCCATGAAAAAAAATTAGTTTTCAGCAAAATAGCGAAAACGTTTCTACATTTTTTTGCATAACCAAGTATATTACAGTCCTTTAAAAATACTTAAAAAATTCTCGGTCAATGTTTTCAAACAGGTAAATTTAATTTACCACAGTCACACAAGTGTAAATTCTACACCGGTCACATCTATAATGAAGCTTTTTCCTCATGAATGCAAAAAAATGTAAAATAAAAAAAATCTGTAATTTTTGTTTTACAGAGAGACAGCTCTTATCCCATACTTTTACAAAGTATGTTGTATATTGTAAACTCGCATATATTTAAAAAAAAAAAAATCATCCCATCCATAACACGTTTATTTCCCTCATTTAAAATCTAAATCATGTTTACAGATTAATATGTTTCTGATCCCATAACTCTGTGGTTAGTTGTTTTGGAATATATAGACAGATCTAGACAGATTTACAGTTTCAATATAATGTTAACATACACTTTATCTGTGAACTTGTTTTGAGTTTTAACTGCAAATGTCACATCCATAACGCTGGAATTGCTCATTTATGAGACAGAAAATTACTTCATTGGAATATTTTCAAGAAAACATTTTGCCTGGAATGTGTTTGGGACCTCAATGAATTAAGGGTCAAAATAATAACAGCATGTTTCTTTAGAAATGGTCATTATGAGATTCTAAATGATAAAGTATTTTCATGTAAAACATGATCCAAATTTCTTTATTTATAACTTTAAAAAGTAGTATTAAAAGTGTAATTCTGTCTGACTGGAATAAAGTTAACAACAAATAATCTAAAAGGATAATTCACCCATTAATAACAATTCTGTCATTTACTCACTCTTATTTCAAACCTTTATGAGATTCTCTCTGTCTTCTATTGAACACACAAGAAGACATTTTGGAAAATGTTGGAAACCTGGAACCATCGACTTCCATAGTCTTTGCTTTTTCTACTATGGAAGTCAATTGTTAGAGACAGGGGCGTAGTGGACATTTTAAAAGTGGGGGGACAGCTGTATAAAATTCAAAAGTTAAAATTCTTAATCACCTGTTACTAAATGGTCTGTCTTTTGTGTTCAACAGAAGAACGAAATTTCTAAAGGTTTGCAACCACGTGAGGAAAAGTAAATAGAGAGTACATTTTCATATTTCAGGTGAACTATCCCTTTAAAGGGGTGAAATTATGAATGAGTTATCGCAGCATTTTAGTGTGGTGGTTTTTCCTAGAGTTTCAGCATACAATAATAATAAGTTTAAAATTGATGAAAGTTACCTTTCATTGTCAAGGGGAATGAATACTTGAGTCAGTTTTCTTGGCATCTTTATCGGAATTCGTTAAAAAATTGAGGCTGCCTGCAAAGCGCCGGTTGCCAGGCAGAGCTCCGCGCAACGTGCGCATGCGCGGTGAGAGCAGCGCGCCAGCCTCTGATTGGATGAAGACAGCATTAGCGGCGCTAGGGGGGATGCGCTGTCCTCCTCGGTGTGTCCGAAAAAAATAAACCCACCGCCACAATGTTACACGTGGTGAAGACTTGTGAATGATAAACCGGACGGATTTAAACGAACAACGCCTGCATGCATTAATCAGGGAATTTCTTGAAGGTAAGCACCGTGTTATGACATCAGTATTGTGCAAATCATACACAAATGTGTAAAAGCGGTGGGGTGTGACGCGACGTAAACAATGCCAGGTACTAAAGTGCTAATAACATTTACCATTCAGTTGTGATTTTGCTTCTCATACTAAACGCAAACATCTTCTACGTTGGTGTTTTTTTGATAAACAAAGCAGGTGTTTCCAGCTGCATACTGACATCATCATACCTTCATGGTCAACATGAGTGAAGGGCCCTCAGGAGACATCGGTGGTGTGGAGCTGGATGGAGGGATTGAGACGGAGACCCCGATGAACACACTTCACAGGTCAGCAGACGGAGAGGGAACCAGCACTCGGAGGAAGAAGAAGAAGAAAAAGAAAGAGATCATCTACCGTTCCGACCTGGAGGATGAGGATGCTGGGGAGGGGACATCGGCGGATGTAGATGGAGCCTGTAGTTCACCATTTGACGAAGGTGACGGGGTTGTTTGTGTATGTCTGCAGGGAAATTCGTCATGTTTACTGTGGTGGTGGATGATGATGAAGATGATGGTACCAGCTTCATATTAGGGCTGCATGATATTAGAAAAAACTGACAATGCAATATTTATTTTTCTGCAATACTTATTAGATGATTAGATTAGATTAGATTCAACTTTATTGTCATTACACATGTACAAGTACAATGCAACGAAATGCAGTTAAGGTCTAACCAACAGTGCAATAGCAGCAAGTGCAGGATACAGGAATAAGTTATAAAGTGCAGTTATAGAAAAACTATGGTGATATTTACAGATGGATGTACTATGAACATCATATACAGTTTGGATAAGCTATGAGCAGATTTACAATATATAAATATATGTGCAGGTTGCTATTAATAATCAGTAGTGTGCAGATAGATAAACATGATTACAAGTGTATATGTTACAATATATGAATATATGTACAGGGATAGATGAACATGATTACAAGTGTATATGTTACAATATATGAATATATGTACAGGTTGCTATTAATAATCAGTACTAGATTACATGTGTATATTTATAGTGGGTGTCTACATAATTACAAATGTCCACATGCAGTGGTTATGTACAGTTCAATAAGTAAACAGTTCAATGTGGTGCAGTGAATGTGCAAATTTTTAAATGTGCAAATGTTAAACAGTGCAGTTATTGCGAGGAGTATAAGTTAGAGGAGAGTGGGGGGTGTATTGGGGGGGCAAAAGAGTCAGTGGGGGGCAGAGTTCAGGAGGGAGACAGCTCTGGGGAAAAAGCTGTTCCTCAGTCTGCTGGTTTTTGTCCGGGGGAGCCTGAAGCGCCTGCCGGAGGGCAGGACAGAAAACTGTCTGTGAGCAGGGTGAGAGGTGTCCTTCAGAATACTGCATGCTCGGCGCAAACAGTGTTTCTTCTGGATGTCCTCTATGGATATTGCTTTATTGCAATATTAAGTAACGTATATTTTCACCAGATGAAATGAATGGCTTTACTTGGAAATAATTAATAATTTTAGATTGATTGGGTTGATTTTGTAGTTTTGTGCATCTGCATAAATTAAATCAACCAAATCACTTGCATTGACGAATACAGTGGAGCAAAGATGCAAATGAAATGCACAGAAGTTTCGGTTTTCTGGGAATCTAGCAGGCAAAATAACAATAAACAAATGTAAAATATTACTGTATGTATATAATATTTCTTAGTTAAAAGCGTCACCCCAGCGGAAAGAACTGTTAACTTATTCAGCATATGTTTTATGCAGCGGATGCCCTTCCAGCTGCAAACCATCACTGGGAAACACCCATACTTCCTTATTCACACACATACTCTATGGCCAATTTAGTTTATTCAATTCACCTTTAGCGCATGTCTTTGGGCTTGTGGTGAAACCGAAGCAGCCGGAGGAAGCCTACAGGAACACGGGGAGAACATGCAAACTATTATTTATTTATAAAAAACTATTATAATTATTTATTTAAAATCAATTTAATTAATGGTCATCGTTTGAATTTCATTTAGCAAGGATGCATTAAATACTGAAATCTTAGTTTTGAGCAAGGATGAACTATATTCTTGACTAAAAACTTTTTAAATTTTACAAAAATAATATAATATAAAGTTAAAGTTCATGAAAGAATTCAGAGAATTTTTTTTTTGTAAAAAAGTACCATAGCAAAATTGTATGCATAAGAAAACATCACAAAAAAAAATTCAAGAGTTCACACTTAGCTGATGATTGGTAATAAGCTTGTTTGGCATGCTGTGCTGGAAAAGAGGCCTGAGTTTAAAAGATCCTCGAGCCCTGGGCTTCCTCCTGTTAGCAATCTGAGAATAAAGTTTGAGGTCAGATCGTTTTCGATGAACTCCCCTGACCTATTTCTGACTAATGACAGATATAAGGATGGCTAAGGAGAGATATACGGCTTACTAAGAGCTTGACTATGATGCCAATTTGGTATGTTCAATTTTCTTAGGTTACATGATTTTTGGACTGTGGGAGGAAACTAGAGAACCCGGGGAAAACCCACGTGAGCACAGGGAGAACGAGCTAACTCCGCACAGAAATGTCGACTGGTTTAGTAAGGATTTTAACCAGAGACATTCTTGCTGTGAGGCAACAGTGCTAATCACTGGGCCGCTGTGTCGCCCATCTACAAAGGAGGGGGAGTAGGGGTGAGTTGGGGGGATTTTTCAAGACGAAGATACTGAGATAAGAAGCTCTAGTCATTTATAGTGAGTTGGGAATCATCTTATTGGTGAATCAATCGTAAGCTAATGCGGGACCAGGTGCAGACAATCATGAGCATGTGATCCCCTCGAAATTAGATTAGAAATAAACTTCACTAAAAGTCTTACTAAGTGCTACCAAAATGTTTGAACATTACTGTGAATTTAGAAAACATTTTCATAAAGTTAAAAATTGCATGTTAGCCATGTCACAAGTCCTAATTATGTCATTTGTCAGTACAATTAAATGTATTGTTATGTTTATCTGTCTTTTGGCCGGGACTTTACATACCTCAATATTTTTCTAGTGTTGCATTTCCTTGTTCCCACAGAGCTGACAGACACATTTACAATAACACACTGTTAATGTGATATCCTCCTCAATATTTATCTTTTACCCACAGAAGAAGAGGAAATCCCCCCTGACAGCCGTTTTGTGACCCTAACCGGTACCATCACGCGAGGAAAGCGGAAAGGGCAAATGGTGGACATCTATATGACCCTCACTGACAAAGAGCTTAGGGATATGGCTCGCTCCAAAGAGCGCTTGGATGCTGAATGTGACGGGGTCGCGGAGGCCAAGCAAAAACCCTGTGCTCTGGGGCTGAGCCAGGGTCCTCACGTCCTCCTCTGGAGCCTTTCCTGCTCCCCGTTCATCTTTGTCCTTTCCTTCATCACCTCATTTTACTACGGTACCCTTACCTGGTACAACGTCTTTCTGGTTTACAATGAAGAGCGCAGCTTTCTGCACAAGATCACATTGTGTCCCTTGCTCATTCTGTTATATCCGGTGCTAATCATGGCGTTGTGTGTTTGCATGGGGGTTTACGCTGCTGTTTCCCAGCTCTCCTGGGTGTTTGGAGAGTGGTGGCTGGCGGTGAGGGACCTGGAGAAGGGCTTCTGTGGGTGGATGTGTGGAAAACTGGGGTTGGAGGACTGCGCCCCATATAATGTGGTTGAGCTGCTGGATTCAGACACTCTTTCCGGGACCCTCCAGGGAAAGAGGTTGGAGGACGTTGAGCAGACTTCTAATTTGTGAGCTGAGAATATGGAAAAATGGTGTATTTTAAGTGATGTCAGAAGGATGGCATGTTGTTGATTGGCATAAATCATTTTTACTTGTCACTAAGATGAAATCTTTGAAGGATTTTTTGTTCAAACTTTGTTGAGTTTAATTCAATTATTTCAAACACATTATTTCAACACAAGTGTTTACAATGTTCAGGATAAAGCTAATGGAACTATTCCCTGCAGGCAAAGGATGTCAACATGACGTCATATTGACGTTGTACCCCTACGTCATGAGGACGTTGGATTTTGTTTGGACATGAAAATCAGGTTGACATCAGAACCCATTGTCAGGCCGACTTCCTTGTCAAATGTCCAACATAAAATCAAGCAAATATCAACATCTAGTCATGTTGACGTTACCAGTATGACATCTTTCAGACGTTGGATTTTGGTCACTTTCCAACACAACTCAAAATCAACCAAATATCAAAGTAATTTGACTTCGTTATTGGATGTCAAAATAATGTTGTCCTTAGACGCTGGCTTGACAGAATTTTGGTCACCTGACATCATGACCTAAATCTAACCTAATATTAACAGCTTATGATGTGTGCCTGCTGGGAGTAAGGTCAATGTACAATGCAAAGAAAATTAGTCCAAAGTCTCATGTAGCTAAATTTAAATAGTTTCTATGATTAAAATATACTTTAGGGCTGCACAAGATTGGAAAAATATGGCATTGCAATTTTTTTCGTTTTACACATATTGAAATATACAGTTGAAGTCAGAATGAGTAGCCCCCTCTGTTTATTTTTTCCCAATTTATGTTTAACGAAGAATATTTTTTAATGACTTATTTCTAATAACAGATTTTTTTTTACCTTTGCCATGATGACAGCACATAATATTTTACTAAATATTTTTCAAGACACTTCTATACAGCTTAAAGTGACATTTAAAAGCTTAACTAGGTAAATTAGGTTAACTAGACAGGTTAGGGTAATTAGGCAGGTTATTGTATAATGATGGTTTGTTCTGTAGACTATCCAAAAAATATATAGCTTAAAGGGACTAATAATTTTGACTTAATGTTAAAATGGTGTTTAAAAAAATTAAAAACTGCTTTTATTCTAGTCAAAATAAAAGAAATAAGACTTTCTCCAGAAGAAAGAATATTATCAGACATACTGTGAAAATGTCCTTGTATTGTTAAAGCATTAGGTGAATACTTAAAACAAATTTAAATATGCAAAGGCGGAGTTATAATTCTGACTTCAACTGTATATACAATTTCACCAGATGACTTGTTAAATATCTCTATTTGGAAATAATTCCTTAATTTTAGATTGATTGGGATGGTTCTGTAGGGAAGCGAGTCATGCATGATATGTTATAAACAAATTACAAGCATAGGTAAATGCAATAGAGCACATATAAAAGTGAAATAAACTGTGTGTTATGGTTTGTCAAGGCAATCAAATTGTATTTAGGCACAGAAATAAAAACAAATCATATAAAATAAAATAACACTGCAAAGACTTTACTAAATAGTTCAATAAAATGATCTTCTATTAATGTTACAAATGGTAAAATTGCTTCCGCCTGAATGCTTTAAACCACAGGTGTCAAACTCAGTTCCTGGAGGGCTGCAGCTCTGCACAGTTTAGTTCCAACTCTAAATAAACGCACCGGATCAAACTAATTAAGTCCTTCAGGCTTGTTTGAATCCTACAGGGAAATTTTGTTGTATGGCGCCGCAAAAAGAGGCGGGATTAAACAAGATGATTAGACATTTAAAAAAGCATGCGATTGGTCCATATTATACATTTCTGCACAGAGATGTCATGTTTTGATCCTCGATTGGTTTCATGCATTCAAGTGATGCAATTTTACAGGTCAGAGTTCTCCAAGCTTGAACTTTGCAACGCAGCAAACTACGAAATTTGTCGCATGAGCTTGCGTTTCCCACCTGGCACATCCGCGTGCATATTAATGGAAGTCTATAGGGAGAAATGTCCAGTGTGACCGCGGCTTAAGTGAGTTGAAGCAGGGTTGAACTAAGAAATAAACTGTGCGGGGCAGTGGAATTGAGTTTGACGCTCCTGCTTTAAACTCTCTTAGGGTTTAAAAACGTGCAAACGTTACAACTTTTACTCCATATTATGGTTGAACTCTGCAGTAACTCCACATATCTTGTGTTTTGAACTGTGGCTTTAGACTCTCAATATAAAATATATATAAATTCTAAACTATATAATCCTATAACTCAATGTTATAAATCCTGTGATGTGACTATTGCGGCCGCACACATTGCGATATCAATGCTGAAGCGATAAATTGTGCAGCCCTAACATACTTCATAATCAAACTGTTATCAAAATTTTAATGACTCCAAATGAACTGTCGGTATGATGCTGTTAATTGCAAATCTTGCGCAAACAGATACACATCTATATGATCAAATGCTTACTTTACTACAGTTTTCTCATTTTGTTATTGAGAGTAAAATGCGTATCACGTATTTACATACTCATCTAATTGCCACTTGAAGGTTAATTAACAGTATAGTGCTGTAAAGTTATTTCCGACTTCTCTTTGTTTCAAATCAAAGAATGAAACAACTTCATCATTAGTATATTGGCAAGTTGAAGCACATTCTCGTACATTGTTTATGCAGTTCTTTTAATGAACTTAAAGTGTCGCTAACAACAAGAGTTTCTGAGTTTTTGCCTCTTTGTTTACTTATAAAGCCATTATAAAGATCAAATCAAAACTGTAAATTTGCTCAAAACCACAGCCTTATTCTGAGTCACTATGATGCAATAATGATTCATATTTACACTTCTGACGTTTGATTCACCTGGAAATCTGAAGCTCATTTTATTATTATGTCTACAAAGCAAATAAGTTGCAACTTGCTTAGAAAAAATGCCTTAAAGGTTTTTATTTACTATCATCTATCAGTCAGATCTGTTCTAATATACAGAAAAGTACTTTTTTAAGTATCTTTGGTTTTATTTATCAACCACAGATATTCGTCATGTACTTTGAATGTTTTTATGTGTAGCAGTAACTTAAGTAGAAACATTCTTAAAATCAAACGAGGATCTGTCCCTCATAGACAATGATCGGAAAAATGCTATATATTTACCTTTGCCCTGCATTACACAAGTTGCACACAGCTGATAAGAAGCTATCATGTCCTGTATGTACTCAAGTTTCTGACTCTTAAGCTCACTTGAAATAGCCACTAGACTGAAACCTTTTTATTCTCTAAGCTGACAACTTTTACACTTTGTGCTGTACAGTTTTAATATTATTATTATTGTTTTAATATTGTGTTCACATCCAAGTGTGGGTATGTCTCAGATCACTGGATTGCTGTATTTGTGTTTAAATCAACTATGTGGTGCTTTGTATTTCCACAGGAGTAACAACAATGGTGCTATAATAGTGTTCAACCATGGACACCGACCATTAAACGCAACAGACTGTTTCACACATGATGGGAATGGTGTAATCATCTTGCATTTTCAAAAACCTTTTAACAGATAATTGGACAACTCCAGACTAACAGATCATTCAGATTCAGATCTGATGGAGAGGTATGAATTATAGCACTCATCTCACTTCATTGTACAATCATTTACAATTTTATTATAACTTTAATCATGCAGTCGTGGAAAACCTTCAGATATTGTGCAATGTTAAAATTGTGTTTTCATGACCAGGAAATGTCACATGGATTAATAAAAATATCAAAACGTTTTGTAAATCTCTGGTGAATACTACTGCACATGATGTGGCGAGAAATACTGTAAATGTATATTGGAACCAAAGTAAAATAAAGAGACAGTTCACCCAAAAATAAAAATTCTGTCAACATTTATTGACCCTTCACTTGTTCCAAACCTGTTTGAGCTTCTGCTTTTGAACACAAAGTAAGATATACCGATGATCGATGAAAAAAAAAAACACCATTGACTTCCATTGTATTTTTTGTTATTACTATTTCCAACATTCTGCAGAATATCTTGTTTTGTGTTCAACAAGGAGAAACAGATATTAACATTTTAAACCACTTGAATATGAGTACATTTTTTATTTTTGGGTGAACTATCCATTTAACTTAAACCAGGGGTGTCCACACTCAGTCCTGGGAGGCCGGTGTCCTGGAGAGTTTACCTCCAACCCTAATTAAAAAAACCTGAATCAGCTAATCAGGCTCTCAGTAGATAAACTAGAAACTTCCTGGCAGGTGCGTTGAAGCAAGTTGGACCTAAACTCAGCAGGACCCCGGCCATCCAGGACCGAGTTTAGACACCCCTGACTTAAACCAAAACCTTCATGCTCCCAAAAAATATATCAAGTCAGTATGTTAGTAATTTGTTCCTTTAATTTAAGCTGTTTTAAACTGACGTTTAAAGTAAAACATGCAAAGACAAAATAGTGGAAAATTTGCACTTTTTTGATTAGAAACTGTTAAATTATTTGCTTTAAAATATGGAATTGGTATACGTTTGTAAAGTGTATCATTTTACAGTTTTGTTGTGAAAGAATCATCATCAAAGGATTCCGCTTATTGCACAAGATTCTTTGATCTTATTGTTTATCTTCGGGAGCTTTTCCAAGTGCTGATCTGTACAATATACAGTCATAATGTTGATCACAATGCAAGACCTTGACCTGATTTTTAAGTTAGACCCGCAGCCTAACACAGTTTCACAAACAACACTTGAATGACTATATGGAATCTTATCCCCTGGCAAAAAAGTAGCTTGTTTTCTGTAAACATGGTTTCAAAGCACAAACGTTGTTTTTGACAGCATGGACTCAACATTTAGCTTTCACACTGGGTGTGTTTCACTGGTATTTTGTTTACAATTTATAATAAAGTGTTTTATCTCATTTGTCGTTTCAAGTATTTTCTGAAAGTCAGTTCATTTCATTCTCATAAAGGTGTGTCACAATGCTAAATAATTACCAAACCTGTAAAAAACAAATTAATTATTACTAGGGCCAGAAACAATCTGCAGACATTTTTGCGGAGAATTTTGCAAAAGACCTGCGGATTTATGCTAAATGAATTTGGCAGAGTCATAACTATAAACTTAAATGAAATAAAATGTATTTTGTCCAGCAGTCACATCGGATGAAAATTTTGTTTTAAAACCCAAAAAGTTTATTTATTACTTTTAGTTGTGAACTCATTTTAAGCAATCAAATCTTATGAAATGTAGAAATTGCGTTAAGAGAAAAATATACAAAGCAAGACTGAGTAATACAAGAAAAAGACAACTAAATAAATAAAATACAATTACCAAGTGTGCATATTACTGTAGGACATCTCGGTGGTTCGAATTGTTAAGGGCCCCCAAATCACTAAATCCAGTCCTATATGTACTAATCATAGGTAATATGTCTAGATCATGCAAACGTTAAGGCACTGTTGAATGCTTTGATCAAATATTTGGAGGTTATATAAAAGTAATTTATAATGGTTTATAGTAAGTATGAAGCAAGTACTATAAAATAAGACCAAAATTAAATAGTAAGTTCTTATAGTTATCTGTATCTTTTCATCTATGAAATGTACTAAAACTTTCTTGTTTTCTCTTGAGCATTGCTTGTTTGCCCAGACACTGCTTACCTTAGATGTTGTTCATATTTGTTCAGTGAGTAAATTCACTAAATGTCTTATACTTGGCGTGAAAATTACAATAAAATGAGCAAATCAGCAAAATATTATTTTGCAGCAGCCTATGCATTTATTTCAGCATTAGAGTCCACAAATGAAAAATGTGAAAGGTGGAAAAAATCTGTTTTTATTCTTTTCAACAAGTCTGTTAGCAAATTAGCCGTAGTTGCATAACAAAACTGCATAAGTGAAAAAAAAAATCTCCAATAGAATCAGCTAAATCGTAACGATCACTTTAACATCTGATCTGTGCAGTTTTGGAACTCAAATTATGTAAATAAAAATAGTTGGTTAGACACATGACTTTATTTACATATCCACATACACTAAGAAAGCATAACAGACCATCTAATCATAGGATTGAGTGTAATAAACTAATTCAGGATCTTAATGTTGTTATACTTAGTTAGAATCGTTTTATAGTAAAATATACAAAACAAACATTGTGTCACATTAAAATGAATTACTATAGTTGATAATTTAAAATAACTACTTCATCTTTTACTAAACTGCAGCAACTTTTAGTTATATATATTATATATATAATAAATATATTTAAATATATAATTATTATTATCAGTCAATTTGTTTGTATTACTATTTTGTTGCAACTATAATTATCACAAATGACCAGTACTTTATGGTTTAACAAATCTATATAAAAACATAAAAACAAATATATTACTTACTTTAAATCACTATAGTACTTCATGTGGGAAATCATTAATAAAAAAAGTTAGAAAATTGAGCAAATAAATACTTATCGCTGGAGTAAAATAATAATATAGTGTTAGACATTTATTAAATGTAAAAAGATTTGTATTACATATAAAGATGTATTATAGCCTACACATATAATCTTGCCATATTTCCTTCATTATAGTGAATCCATTATATAAATTAAACCTGCCCAATTTAGATCGTTGATATATCTCTGAAAAATGTTTCAGCAAAGCCAGCAACGAGTATCTGCTATACTGACTTTGTTTGATGAATAATGACTGATCATCCATGAGGGCTGATATCAGTACAGCTTGTCTCGATAGAGGGGGAGCATGAGCTCTCGCTCCTCCTCCTATAAGCTGTTTTAATCCTGGTGTACGCATTAAAACAGCTTTCAGGAGGCAGAGCTAGAGCTCATGCTCCCCCTCTCTGGAGCTCAGCTCTGCTCAAATGGCTCTGCAGCGAGCACCCTCTCGTTTTAATGCGTGCACCAACCCCACCCCTAACCCTACCCCAGTGACATCACTCGTAGAAGTGCATGAAAGGAGGAACGAGAGCTCAAGCTCCCCCTCGCTGGAGCTCAGCTCTGCCTAAATGGCTCTGCAGTGAGCACCACTACTTGTCTCGATCGACCGGAACAGGGCGTGACTTCGCGTAACTCAAAGGCTTTGGTAACTTTGCTTTCGCTTTTGCTTCAGTTTGTCACGATGGCGACGTACGACGTAAAAGGTAAAAATATCATTTAAATACATTCTCTCTGATCAAATAGCTTACTTTTAGTAAGATTTTTTGTTATAGCTTCATACAAGTTAGTCGATAAACACTTAACGTTAACAAGTTCTATAAATGGCCTACGTAACCTACTATAAGTACAATTTTACCGGACAAATTCGGCTGTAAGTTGAAGAGTCCTAACTACTGAACGGAAGACGTTGTGAACAACATGTAAACAAAGGCAGTTCAAGTCAGTCGACGGTGAAACGTAGTAGTTGTTTTAGAATACGCGTATTGTATCGTTTTGTATTGCTGTTGTGACCTTTAATTATCTGCTCCGCCTGTATCTCTGTCCACGTAGGCTTTAGGAACAGGTGTAAGTTAGTATTGTCGGGAGACTTAGTTATTCATACATTCAACTTTTTGAATCAGCTCGAGTCGAATGTTTTCACAATAAAGACATTAAAGAATCGATTAATCTTTTACGACCGAAGTGGTTCTTCGGAATTCAAAAGTTATGCCAAAAACAATGAAAAGGCGTTGTTAGTAGATAAACGCTGTGAAATAGGCTAGTTAGTAGATAAACGCTTGTGTAGTGACGCTATACAAATTCCATGGTTGATTTCGGAAATCCCCTTGCTTAAGCACACTGACAAGGATGTTTGAAAACATCAAATGTAATGTATTTTAAAGAATATCAAAAAATACCACCGTGGTAAAATGCCCCCCACAAAATCTGTTGTGGATGTCTAGGTACTTTCCATCATTATGGTTTCATTTAGATTTACATCCATCTAGTGATGAGTCCCCTTTCTCCTCCTCTTTTTTTAAAAATTTTTTTTAACTTAGTGTCAGCAAAAGATGAAGCTCGCTGCTGGCAAAACCACCAAAGAATTTGGTGCTCCAAATTAAGGTCACTGAAGGTAATTCAGCCTTTTACAGGTATCTTTCATTTGTTGATGTTTTTTTTTATTTATTTTTTTATTTTTTTGCTAAATTGGGTGTTCTGTTTGTCTTTTACAGGTGTAAATCCAAAGTGGCTACATTCTTCCATTCTGTCAAGATAAATGCAATTTTCATTCATTGATTGCAAAAAAAAAAGAAAAAGAAAAGAAAAAGAAAATACAGCCCTTTTTCTAGACTAACTTAATTAGATTTTAAAAATGCATAGAAAATTCAATTCTGCTTTTAAAATGACCCAAACTATTACCTAAAGTATTTATACAACACCATACGGTGAAATGGCAGATGGATTTTCTACTCTGGTTAACAAAGTGACCGCATCTCTTAGCAGCGACGAGTCTAAGATCCTGCTGTATCTTTGCACTGATTTGTTCAACAACAGTTGTGTGGAAGAACTGAGAGGAGATTTGCTGGCCTTTGCCCAACAGAACCCCAATCAAGCAGGTCAACCTCATTCTGGAAATGCTCTGCTGATGGAGCTCATGTTTCAAATGAAGCGCTATGATTTACTACGCAAAGTTTTTGGCACCAACAAACAACAGGTAGAAGGAATTCTCAGAAAGGAGCGCGTCATCTCAGATTACAGGTAATTTATTCTTCAAATGAACACATTTCAGATATTTCCTAACCCATGACCCATGTGGTGGAAAAATACAATTTTAGTAAAGAAGAACTATTTTAGAGCTTGACATTTGTTTGTTTTTTTAGGTCATTAGAGCAGTTTCATTAGAAATACCCATGTAGAAATACCCATGTGTGTTATTTACACTCTCTTTTGCAGTACGATTATTGAATTGATTACTTTTATACAGGGTTCTAATGGCAGATGTGAGTGAAAACTTGGATAAAGAGGATTTACAATCTCTTATCTTCCTCCTAAGCAGTATCCTGCCCAAAGAAAGATCAACTAGAGCTACTGTAAGACCTTACTGAATATTTCTGTCTGTTCAAATTAATATTTATTCTGCAGAATATTTAGGTAAAACTGAACATGAATATGCTATTTTTCTAGAAATGTGTGTGCTATTTCATTTTGGTTTCAATTGATTTCCAATAGAGCTTTCTAGATGTGGTGGTGGAGTTGGAGAAATTAAATGAAGTATCTTGTGAGAAGCTGGACTTTCTTGAAAAGTGTCTTAAAAATATTCGCAGAAATGACCTTGTCAAAAAAATTCAGGCGTACAGGAATAGAGGTCAGTCCCTTTTGAAAGAAAGTAAAAGAGAAAATCTTCTGCAAAAAAAAAACATGCATTTCTATAACGCACCACAAAGCTCTTAATTTGGCAACTAGACTCAGTTATTTTATTTACTAATATATATCAAATAAAGCAATTACGTGATTAAATTTACTAAATAAAAATTATTTAGGTCAGAACATGCCATGTGCCGCTCCAAATACCTTTAAGGTAAGACATTTAAACAAATATATTGATACAGTATATGAAAAGTATATAAAGCATATTTTTAAACTCTTTGTTTTTCTACTTTTTAAAATTTCAGTTCACCCCTATGCAGTGTCAGCCTTTTGAAAAGCAAGTGAGACAATCACAGTGCTTCAATCATGGTGAGTTAATATGTAGGTATGTACAGTATGTGTAAAGCGGGTGTAAAGGGATAGTTCAAACAAAATTCTGTCATTATTTACTCACACTTCACATTTCACAAAACTAATTGAGGTTCCTTTTTCTGTTGAACCCAAACTTTATTTTGAAAAATGTTGGAAAGCTTATACCACTGACTTCCCTTGTATTTGCTCTTCTTTCTGGGCAAGTCATTGGTCACAGGTTTCAATTTCCAACATCCTTCAAAATAACTTCTGTGTTCAACAGATGAAAAATGAGCTCATAAAGGTTGGGAAGAAACCATTCGAGAATGAGTACATGATGACAGAATCAAACATTTGATTTGCTTAATTATCACTTTATTTTTGACCCTGTGATCTTCTTCTAGAGTTCAACAAATTGAAGCTTTCTGTGCCTGAAACAGGGATTCACTATCAACAGGTAAGTTATCAGCTTCTCGGCTGACTAAAAACAATTAAAATAGAAATTGCCATTCTTTTAAAGTTTATAAGTTGTCTTTATATCTGCTAGGCTATTACAGAGGAGTATCAAATGAATCCCGAACAAAGAGGCCTGTGTGTGATTATTGACTGTGTTGGCTATGATGGAGGTAAGTGTGTGTCATACTCTCAAAATAAAGGTACGAAAGCTGTCACTGGGGCTTTTGTACCAGGGCCACATTGGTACTTTAAAGGTACACTTTAATACTTTTTAGGTACTAGTATGTACAGTCACAGTACAACTGAGGGACTGTTTGGTAACACACACTTAAAAAAAAAAAGGTACTGCCACAGTGATTTTTGTACTTCTATTTCTGAAAGTCTTTCTCTTTTGTATTTGTTCTAGAGAATCATCTAGAGAAAGTGACCTTAAGGTCCTCATTTAACTAATAAAATACTATAATTTCTTTATTGACTTTTTTCATAAGTTAAAAGAGGATCATAAGGTCACTTTCTGTTTTAGGTGGGGAAAAAATACCATGACAGTTTACACTTTCTGAATACTTGTTTTGCCCCTGGTTTCATTGACACTCTTTATTCCGACAAGTGTGCTCAGAGTAAAATAAAAAAAATCCTATATTATACCCCTGATTTTCCTAACAAATTCATAATTTTCATACAACATGATTATTTTCCCAGTAATTACAAACTGGGGAAAACATTGATGTCAGAACAGAACTAACACTGTGGATGTTCATCATTTTCTTTTACACATAACTTCTGCATCTAAACATCTACACATTGTGTCCTTTCAGAAATGTTGAAGCACACGTTCGAATGTCTGGGATTCAAGGTCGTTTTTCACTCTCTCTTGGGTCTGAAGGAAACCCAGAAGGTTTTGGAAGATCTGAGCCTGAACAGAATTCTTCAAAGGGTCAGATGCTTTGTCTGCTGCCTCATCAGCAGAGGAACAAACACTCATCTGTTGGCTACCGACTCGAACAGGCTCGGCATCAACCTGAAGGATCTTAAACAGCTTTTCAACGCAACCAAGTGTCCAAAAATCTTCTTCACCCAGCTCTACAGGATCACAGAAGCCCCAGTAATGCCCTCAATGGATGACGAATACCTTGAGACAGATGCACCAGCTTCCAGGCAGTGTTCAAACACAGGAAGTGTTCCAATGCCAGCGGACGTCCTCTGGAGTGTCTGTACAGCAGAGGTAAAACTGCTGGAAGAGTCCGGGCACCAGTCGGTTTACCTGAATGCATTGAACAATGCTTTATTGAAAGGACATGAGAGGTATGGCCACTGTTTATAAAACATTTCTTAGTGCCTAATTTACCAATGTTAATAGGACAGTTCACAGAAATATTTTAAATTACTCATCCGCTTGTTTCAAACCTGTTTGAGTTTCTTATGTTGGAGACAAATTATTAATATAACATTTATTCTGAAGGATGTTGGAAGACTTTTTTTTTTGTTAACAATATGGATGTCAATGGCTGCTGCTCTCCAACATTCTTCAGAATATATTGTTTTGTGTTCAAGAATCATAAAAGTTTAGATCTGCTTGAGTGTGAGTAGATGAGTAAATTAATTTTTGGGTGAACTATCCCTTTAATATTTGAAATCATGCATTTATTTGTTCCTTAACATGAAATAAATGTTCTTGCTGCATTGTATTACACCAGCAATGCTAAATTATGAAGCTTATTTGTTAGTACCATAAATGGTCTCGTTTTAATCAATGCATTTACTAAGATTGAGCAATATGTATTTTAAAAATAGCAATTTCTGGGAAAGTCTAAATGAAATGTTACATTCAGATGTGAGACAAACCAATGTTAAAACAAAACTCGTTACTAAAACAGAGCATTTAAAAACGTCTATAACTGCATCACTCTGGATTCAAACCCATTACCTCTGCATGCCAGTCAGGAAGTCTCACCACTTCACTAAATCACTTAAAAATTCAGGTGTACAACGTGGGGTTTAATACCTCAGTTTGCTGAACGGTTTCTTTGTTGAAGCTGTTCAGAGTAATACATCACAACTGACCACAAGGTGTCACTGTAGAAACAGGTTTTGAAGCTTCGACAACTTTGCTTTGACTGTTTAAGTGTTTTATGAAGCCTCGCTTTGCCCACCACCAGGGCTGGACTGGGGCAAAAAATCAGCCCTGGCATTTTGGGCCAGAGCGGCCCACTAAATTCAATCAAAATGCTATCGATCTATGCACGTCATAAATAAAAAAAAATTATAAAACACAAAAGCCATATATATTAAATAAATAAATAAATACAAACTTTAATCTCAATTTAAATTTCTGTATACTGTCCATAAAGATATTTGTTGAGTTCTAAAAAAAATACACTATTCATTCATTTATTTTTCTTCGCATAAGTCCCTTATTTATCAGGGGTTGCCGCAGTAGAATGAACTGCCAACTATTCCAGCATGTTTTACGCAGCAGATGCCTTTCCAGCCACAACCCAATATTGGAAATCACCCATACACACTAATTCACACACTCATACACTACAGCCAATTTAGCTTATTCAATACACTATTCACTCAGCCTATATTCAATAATAAACATAACAAAAAAACTGCCTGCTAATGCATGGGCAAATCTTAAAAGGGAACAGTGTTACATTTTAACCTCTTTCTCCTCATCCTGCTTGGTCATCTGCTTTCATCTAAACAATGAAAACATAATATAAGGAAATTTGTTTCATTTTGAAATTATGATTAACAGACACCAAACAGCCTCGTGTAGCTGCATATTTATATGAGCGTCATCTTCACTCTGCATATTTATAACAAAACAGGGCTTAAATACAACTGCCTTCTTTCATTTCCATTGAAAAGAATGAACTTTACCCTGTCTCTTTTGCAGAATATCAGTTTTAATAACCAATAATGACCATTATAACAGTGTAACGTACATTAAATTTAAACGATAAAGGTAAGCAATCAGTCAATGTGCAGAATCAGTGTATGTGGTTACATTAATTAATATATTAGCTTATCTTTGCACTCAGCCAAAACAGTTAACTGAGAGCAAGAGATTCAAAAGACATAAGAGTTGTTAGATAGAGACAACAAGATAAATTCAATATCACGTTTAACAACTATAGTGATATGAGATCATCCAGCAGATGAACTGTCTGACATGCACTATACTCTCACCTGGGGTTTATGCTCAGCCGCTGAACTACTTGGCTGCAGCTCTTGGCAGAGAGTGTGCATGTGTGTGGTCACGTGATTTGCGCTTTTAGCCGTGTACTAGATTGTACAGAGAACTTTTCAGAATCGCTAAATGAAACGCCGGTGTAATTCCCGCGATTTCTCTGCGCCTCCCTTGCGTTTCTTCTCTCTGACTCTCGACTATTTTGACAAATACACACAGACGACACACGCTCACACGGAGTCCAAAATAGGAGTTTGTGATTGGGCCAGCCCAATGTCAATACCGAAAAGAGCCAATGGGCTGCAGAGTGTCAAATGGGCCGGCCCGGTCTGTCTGTCCGGGAAAAAAGCATCTACTTTCAGAGTCACAGATCACAGCAGCGTCAATTAATAAGGCAGAAAAAAACGATAGGCTGCTAAGCCTTTTATGGGCCGATCAGATCATAAGATGATGCCTGGCCCAAAAAGTACGTCGGCCCACCGGGAAAGTGCCCGGTCTGCCAGATGGCCAGTCCGCCCCTGCCCACCACTATTTATAAGCTGCTTTCTAGCTGTTTTTAAGGGTGTTTCCGGCTTGGGAAAATTGGTCCTCTCTTGTATGAGTCCTTTGTAAATCCATTAATTTGAAAAAGTACACAACAATCAAGTGGATCTGCTTCCAAAATATCTGTATTAGTTTGACACATCGTGGACAGATGTTATCATGAGACAGAATGATCAGAGTGCCATAGACTTTTGCCCATTACAATTCAACGCATGAGTTAGCAATAGATCACCTGTGACAAAGCATACATTAGCTCCTCGTGAGTTTTCAACTGATTAAAAAGCTGATAATGTGTATGCAATTTAGGGCTGCACAATATATTGCAATATATGATTTACATCACAATAAATGTGTATCGAAGATGTGTGTGATAAATTACATTTATTTTATGCATTGGTTGTTTCAGACCAATCACATTGGCCTAATTATTTTTATTGCCACCTCTACAGTAGTTGCTGTTCTGCTATTAGCTGGAGCAACCCAAAGGTGAACCCAGAGCTGAAAATTAATACTTATGCCGAGAGTCAGACATGAGAGGAAAAGGACAAGTGTCAGAATATCTGCTGAGGATTTCACTCATTCGTAGTGTTTCAGACTAAATGTTTGCATCTGGACAGTTTTAGTGTGAATTATAATTAGTTATATTTTACTTGTTTCTTTTACTATCATTACATAACTTATTATTTAAAATTATTTAAAAGCAGCTAATAAAATTCACATTTTTAGGGAAATGTTATATCATAACATTTTTAACATAATTATCATGATACTTAACAACAATGTTATATATGTTTCCAGTCTCAAGCAGCCCTAATGCAAATAAACAAGCTCAGCACAACAGAATTGCAATATTTACAATATTTGCAATAAAATCCATCTTTAGGTTTGTCGTTAATACAACATTATATTCATTGAGACCATTAGTTATTGCTTCTTGAAATTTAACACTGAAGCCGCCATATTCAACAAGAAATGTGTCAGTGTTCAATCAATTTTAGTTTTCCTTTTGCAGACAGAGACCAATCTGATCATGAAATCCCGTTTATTTATATATATTTTTCCTTTTATTTGCAGAAATGTGCCCATATTGGATGTCATGAAGGAGGTACAAAGAAATGTGTTGAGTCACGATTCTGACAATTACCAGCTTCAGCAATCTCACACACTACAGAAAAAACTCTACTTATAAGGACAACACAACACAAACCACTCCATACTTTGGTTTCTGTTTTCTTACAAACGCTAGTAAAAAATGTTTGTAAACAAAACGCTGCTGCTAGAGTAAAAACTTAGCATAGCTACATACTGCCATTAATGCTGTATTATTCAAGTATGTTTTGTTATATGTTTGTTTAATATTTATTTGTCACTTGTGGCAGCTAATACAAAAATGTTCTCATTTGCAGTCAGAGTACTATCGTCCTGAATACCCTTAAGTCATTAGTCAAGATGTTGTTTATTTGTTTATTGCTTCTTAAATACTAATCAGAGCAGCTTTACATTCACACATACATACAGATTACATTTGAATGCTCCAAAGCAGAAAAGCAACGACAACTGGCAGTGAAAACACTACTGAACACCACTTTTATATTCCATCTTGCATATAAAACTCTATATAACCAAATAACCAAGAAGTATTGTCCAACAATTTTATCTTTGTTGATGTGTAGTATGAGTAAATATTTGTTTTGTAACTAGAATTATAGACCATTTAGTACTAATCAATCAATGCACTTTTAAAGCCCTAATTATTTAGACCCTCTTCTTAAATGATCCGTGAATGCTTTTCATTTAGGCATTGATTTTAAAATTAGTGATGAAATTACATTTTCTTAGACCAGGGGTGCCCAAACTCAATCATGGAGGGCTGGTGTCTTAGAGATTTAAGCTTCAACCCCAATTATACACACCTGAATCAGCTAATCAAGCTTTATCTAGGTATAAACTTCCAGGTAGGTGTGTTGAGGCAAGTTGGAGCCAAACTATGCAGGACACCAGCCATCCAGGACCAAGTTTGGGCACCCGTTTAAGTCTTTGTCTAGTTTTCAGAAGAACCAGTTGAATTACAATTACATATATATATTTTTTTCTTTGAAGGTTATATGTTTATCAATATCTAAAATATATATATATATATATATATATATATATATATATATATATATATATATATATATATATATATATATATATATATATTAGCTATTGTACACTACTATCGGAAACCTAATGATTGATAGTCATTTTCACTAGAATGTCATTGAAGGTCAAGAAAGATGTGTATTAGCAGATTAATATATAAATGTATAATTGTATTGATTATTTTCTTTTCTTTAAACTTTAGTATACATGTATAATTGTCCTAGAATGTCATTGAAGGTCCTGGAAGATGTGTATTAGCAGATTGATAAATGGAATTATAATTACTCTTTCCCCTTCTGTTTCAAACGTTACTGTGTATAATTGTCTATAATTATCAACATCTAAAAAAATAACACATTGTACTTTATAACCTGCTTTTGTACTGGAGTCCTAACGATTAATAGTCAAGGTGGCAGAATGTCATTGAAGGATGGAAGATGTGTATTAGCAGATTAATAAGCTTTATGAATGAACTGAATGTGTGGACAGCCAAAAATCTGAAAACACTCCTGGCAGCATGAAGTGAGTACTTTTTTTTTTTTTTTAATTATTATTATTATTATTATAAAAAGCTACATAAATGCACAAATAAACTTCTGTCTTTCTTGCAATAAACTATATAAACGACAGAGCCAGTCCGCAGTTATTTTTGGAAACAAGAATGAATGTACATGATTAAAAAATAATAATAATCACCCACCATTTTGTTTGGAAAGCGTCACGTTACCATTATCAATTCCCGCTCATTTTTGAGTTCGCGCGTCATGACCGTAAATTAGCCGTCAATGTTTGCCATAAACATTCCGTTGTTTAGTAAGAAGATAAACTATATTGGTGGCTGAACATTGTCGGTAGGGAACATATCGGAGATTTTGTTTTACATTAAGCTACAAATGTATTATCAGTAGCGTAACTCGTTTGCTAAAATTAGCATAAACGTAGCACATAGGCCTATATGTATGTTGGAGAATTTGCCAATTCCCTTTATCAGCTCAAAGTAAATAATACGAAAGTTGTTAGTTTAAAATGTTTGTGATGATCAATTTACTTTTTTTTACAGTGTTATATAGTAACAGCCAAGAAGCCTAGGATACGTTGTTCCTTGTTTCCTGACACTCTTGTAAAACTAAAACTGTCATCTAGAAAAAGAAAAAAAAGTCTAGACAACGAGTAAAGTGAGTACTGAAACTTATGTTGGGGGAAAATGATATTGAGCCAATATTGAGTCACTGGCTCTTATTTCACACATTTTCTTACAGATGCTTTTTGATCGAGCTGTGATTTGAAAACAAAATGCAATGAGATTAACATTTAATGAATCAACGAATGCGTACAATTATAATACTACAATAATATGTGAAGTATGCACATGTATATAATTGTGTGATTTGGCTAGAAAAGTTTGAAAATGCACCTGGAAAGAGGAAAATTATAGGAAAATGTGTTTTGTTCTTTTTAAAAAGTGTGCACAAATGCACAAAGTTTTATTTAAAACTAAATTACATCTGAAAAACACTAACAAAAAATCTGGTCGTGTACGTAGCTAAAAAGTCATTGCAAAAATTTTTTTTTAATGAAATCAGTTCATATGGTTAAAGTTAATGGTGTCGATCTTTAGGTCAGTGAAATTCTTGTGTATTGTTTAAAAATTAAATCCAGAAAAAAAAAAAATATTTGTTAGAATGTGTCCAGCCCACTTGAGTTTCACAGGCATCTGTTTGTGTCATATTAAAAACAACATCCACCCAGATCAAGTTCCATAAAATCTAGAAAGCAATTATTCCAGCACTTTGTACTTCAGGTTGGTAAGAAAATATGGTGATGGGAAGTGCAGTGGTTAATGATACAAACTCAGTTGAAACTGCTTCAGAATATAAATGCATGGTTAATGAAAGTTGCAATGAAAAAGTTCACACAAAAATAAATATTTGCTGTTCATTTAGAGAACCACCAAAGATGTGACTTTTTTTTCTTTAGTTAAACTTTTGAAGATGTTAAAATTGTGGTCTTTAGGATTGACAGGTTCTTTGTGAGAAAAAAAAAATGGACAAAAAAAAGTGGTTCCTATTTATGATGCAAAATGATTAATCTATGCAAGAAAAAAAAATCATTACAAAATTACTGCTATTACTATCTTTTCATTTTATGAATCACACGTTACATTTCCTGCTGAAGAATGAAAGTCATCTTATGCATGGCCTGAGTTGTGAAGTTGCTTCCATGACTTTGGCTTGTACATCTGAAACAAAACATTAGACTGAAAAAAACACAATAAAAAAGTATGAACATCTATATAAATGTGTAATTTGCCTAGTAAAGTTTGAAAATGCACCTAAAAAGTGCTTAAACTTCACTTTGGAAAAGGCGTGAGAACAGATTACAGCAACAAAATATTTTATATCTTTTAAAAAGAAAACGTGCATTTAGAAATTTATTTTTCTTTTATTTAGATTTTTTCCCAGTCTCAGTGTGATTTTAAGATAAAAAGAAGGTACACAAGTGCACAGAGTTTAATTTAAAACTAAATTACATCACGAAAACACTAACAAAAGAAAATCATGAAAAAAGTCATAGCAATTTTTTAAGAATTCAGTTTACATGGAAAAAAAAGTTAATGGTGTCGATCACTAGGTCAGTGAAATTCTAATCTATCATTTAAAAATTAAACCCAGAAAAAAAAAAAATTGTTGGAAATGTGTCCGGCCTATTCTCAAGTTTCATAGACTTCTGTTTGCGTCATATTAAATAACATCCACCCCGATCAAGTTCCATATCATCCAGAATTTCCGTTGATTCAGAGAGCGATTATTCCAGCACTTTGTCTAGTACAAATAAAATATGCTGTTGACTACCGTTATAGGTAGTTCAGTGATTAATGATACAAACTCCAGTTGAAACTGCTTGGAAATATTAATACATGTTCCCTGTTTGCGGTTTCAACAAAATTGTTCACAAAAAAATAAATATTTGCTGTTAATTTATAGAACCACCAAAGAGACTTTTTTTTTCTTTAGTTGAACATTTGAAGATGTTTAGCTAAAATTGTGGTCTTTCAAGATTGATAAAATATATGACTACTTTAAATTAAAAAAGCATATACAGACAAAAAAATGAATATTCTTAGTTCTTAATTATAAAGCAGAATGAAAAAAAAAAAACATTAGAAACCATTGGTATTTATTTAGTTTTTCCTGTATATGCTTATTTGACAGTGCTGGTAGCCACTTCTTAGTTCAGCACAAACCACAGCTTTTCAGCTAAAGTCTTCTTAAGTTTCCTGAAGAATGAAAGTCATCTTATGCATGCCTGAGGATAATTAAATAAACAGCTAATTATCTTTTTAAGTGAACACTCCTTTTTAGAGTTTACTGGCTCAGTTGTCAGGCGTCAAGTTGCTTTCATGACTTTGGCTTGTAAATCTGAAACGAAACATTAGACTTAGAAAAAACATGATACTAGACTTTTATCTCTATTGGATCAGTCTTCCTTCCGCTTCTGTGTTTTTCTGCAGCAGCGTCTCCAGCAGAGCGAACAGCATTTAAGCATGGCCAGAGTCACAATCAGGACAATCAGGAGCATGAAGCCGATCACATCCAGACTGTGGTACTGAAGCCAGTTCAGCTCGTGAGCAGCAGGTCTCAGGTGATCTGCGCCTTTGTGTCTCATTACAAACTCTGTCCAAAACACTGCAAGATCCAGGGGCTGAATGGGACGGTCATTGTGTATTGCTGACAGCTTCTGCATTTTTTGCTTGTAGCTGCAGAATATAAAGCAAAATCAATGCAGTTTATTTAAAGAGAAGAGAATGGGGGTGTTGAAGGATTAGTTTGCTTCTAGAATGAAAAAAAAAAACTCCTGATTCTTTTCTAACCCTCTTTTCATCCAAGATGTTCTTTATTTATTTACTCAAAATTATCCACTTGTTTTACATATATGACTGAGCATCATAAAAAGTCAGTTATATGGAGAAATATCCTGACATTTTTTTTCCATTTATTTTCAAGCGTAAAATGAAAGAAATGAACACTTTGGATGGTGATGAGGTTAATAAATAACAGGATCATTTCACTTCCTGAATGTAATTTCCCTGATAAAAGCAGTTAATCTCTCACCTGCTGTTGTTAATAACGCTGTTGAGGGCATCGAGCAGTGTTTCCACAGTGATGTCGTGGATGCTAAGGATGACTCCCACCCCTCGAGTTGCCACTCGGTGCACATTATCAGCCTGGTCACCGAAGAGAGGAAGCATGACCATGGGAACACCATGACAGATGCCCTCATAGATGCCGTGCGTCCCCCCATGAGTAATGAAGGCTCTTGCTTTGGGGTGACCTTTAATGACAAGAAGTAAAGTCACTTTTGATTTACTTTGATTTTGATAGAACTAAATGGCTGGCAATGACAAACGATACAGTCAAGCATACAATTATTCAAACCCCTGGCAAATTATAATTTGCAGTTACTTTTATTCAACCAGCAAGTTTTGGGATTTGGAAATGACACAGGCTTCTCACAAAAGATAATAAGACAGGAGCAAGAGGCACTATTGTGAAAATAAATAAATAAATTTAATCCTCAATAGTATATTATGTTGTCGAACAGCTGCAGTATTTGTCAAACTGTAGTGAGTCTATTGATCTGCTGTTATTCTATGCGGGTGGGGTAATACACGAGTAAAGAGACTGTACGAGTGCTGTTATTGCAGAATATCGCATGACTATCAGCCAATCATTCAAGAACCAGACAAAACTGTTGTGTGTGTGTATATATATATATATATATATATATATATATATATATATATATATATATATATATATATATATATATATGTATGTATATATATATATGTATAGATAGATAGATAGATAGATAGATAGATAGATAGATAGATAGATAGATAGATAGATAGATAGATAGATAGATAGATAGATAGATAGATAGATAGATAGATATTAATGGATTTGCTTTTAATAAGTACATACTTTTAGTAAAACATTTTGTTGCGGTTTGTTTTAGAAACAAAGTGATACCAAACACTTAATTGCGGTTTATTTTATAAATTTCTGACAACATTTTTAAAAATGTAAATAATAAAAAAATAATCAATATAATATTAAATATAATATTGCTAAAAATACAACTGTAAAAAATATCCGTAAAATGATTAATGTAATATTATTTATGTATGCATTATGAGAAAGTGGTCTCAATTTTTTCTGTAATTGAAAACATGTCCATATTTTGTGATTGACATGTATTTTGGCTTAATCATGATTGTGAATTGCATTTTGGCACCATGATTAAAATAAATTTATAAATTTCATATATACATATTCAAAGGTGATTTTATTGACATTTTAAATGGTTTGAAGTGATATACTGTCTGGGATGGTGTTGTAAATTGCAGCACAAATTGGAATATAGAAACACCATTTGTGCAATTTTAAGGAAAAGTAGTCTCTAATTTATATGAAGCTATTATCATTTATCAGTGGATTTGCTATTAATAAGTACATGATTTTAATAAATTATTTAGTTGTGGTTTAATTTAGAAATTACTAATGACATCTTCTTAATTTCAAATAATAATGTAATAAGTTAGATAATTTACTTGGTAAAAATTCAAAAAAAAATAATAATAAAAAGAAATAAAATAAAAAAAAATTTCAGTCAAATGATTTATGGTATTACTTATTTATGCCCTATGAGACAGTGGTCTCTCATTTTTTTTCCTGTAATTGAAAACATGGCATATTTTATGTTTCCATATTTTGTGATTCACATGTGTTTCCTTTTATTTTGGATTATGAAACGCTTTATGGCAACTTGATCTTTCCTTTAACGAGATTTGATGTTTTTAAAAAGTGATCTTTATTGACAGTTTAAACAGTTTGAAGTGATATACTATCTGGGCTGGTGTTGTAAATTACAGCACAAATTTGGAAGACATGTAGAAACAGCTTTTGTGTAATTATAAGAAAAAGTATTAAGCAGTCTCTGATTGGTGTGTTTAGACAAGTCCTCCATTAAACAAACAATCCTACAAATTAATAAATGAGGACAAAAAAAAATAAGTGCATGGAACATTGGAACACCACCAAAAAAACTGAACTATCCCTTTAAATTTAATTTACAGAGGAGCCCTTATTTTGGCCCCACCCCCTGCTGGAGAACCACTGCTCTAACACCCTTTTCAATTAAAATTCTCCAGTATTTATATAACTGACCAGATTGTTCACTGGTCCAGCATCAGTGCCAATACAACCACAGTTAATAGGATTAGCCATCATTATGAGTCTGAATGGGCTCTGCTCTCCAATCATTGCAATCATACCTGACATGCCAGACAAATTATGGACTTTACAGAGTTTGTTTAACAAAAGCCGCTTCTGTGTTCTCGGTTTAATGATCCATGTTGTTGCTGGAATCTTTTCTTGGCTGATCCTTAACTAGGGATAAACCAATTGTACAATAATAAATTGACTCCCTCATATTAATTCACAAGCGCTTCTGTTAAAAAACAATAATTGAGAAATCAAGCTCTTTGGCACTAGCTTAAAGGTCCCATGAAATAAAAATCAAGTTTTTATATATTAGTATCAGTATTGCTAGTTTTTAGGATATCTTTAAGTTAGTGAGCTTCAAAAAAGGACAAAATTCGCATTTAAAACTGATATAAACATGTACGGCTTGTTGTTTGTCACTTTCGCATAAAAGGATGAACTTTTTTTTTTTCACGTCACCTCATACTTTAGTTTCTCATCAAGTCATGATCCAATCAAATGCACTCTAGTATCTGACATGTCCTGCCTTCTTCAAGACACATTTGATCCACTGGAACTCAACCACTCTCATTGGCAGAACGCTATTGGCTGTTTTTCAAAAAGATGTGGAGCTACACTATGTCCCACACTCTTTACATGTTTCGGTTAAGATTAAATCAAACATCGAATAAAAATGCACATTTCAAAGCATATCACGGGACCTTTAAATTATTGTTTAACCATAAAATGGCGACATATCCTTGTTAAAAAGCATTTGGGATACAAATATAAACAATTAGAGACATTTTTTTATTCCATAGACTTTTAGCTTTCATTAGTGCCTGGCCATTTGTTCAATGCATATAAAAGCATTTTGCACTTTTTTCCCCACAAGGATATGTAACCCAACTGTCCTACAGCACCCAACCTGCTCTGAGCTGGGATCAAACCGGCGATTCTTCTTATGGGAGTCGGTTGCTCTAACAAGGAAGCTAAAGACCATGGCCTCTGGCGTCTGTCTCTAGAGCACCTTTAGTAGTCAGAAGAGTGAGGTTTACCTGCATAGCACTTCGCTAACTGGCCTCTGTTACACTCAACCCCCTAGACCTCACTTCCATCCCAGACAAGCCCTCATGTATAACTCACCGATCCCACTGCAAATTGGCAATGAGTCGGTTGCTATAACAAGGAGGCTAAAGACCATGGCCTCTAAAATCTGTCGCTAGAGAACCTATAGAGGTCAGAGGAGTAAGGTTTACTTGCACAGCCCTTTGCTAGCTTGCCTCCATTACGCTTCACACTCACCCCCCTTAACCTCACGCTCATCCCGGACGAGCCCCCACATGTAACCCACCAGTCCTACTGCACCCAAACCACTCTGAGCTGGGATCGAACTTGCGATTCTGCTCTAGAGCAGCTTTAGATGTCAGAGGAGTGAGGTTTTCCTGCATAGCACTTCGCTAGCCTGCCTCCGTTACAGATATTTACGATGAAATGCAGTTTAACAGATAAACTACATTTGTATGTAGCTGGTTAGCTTATTATAACAAAGTAAACTTTAAATTGGATAATTGGGACCCCCATGAGAGTGGCTGTTGCTATAGATCCATTTAGGTGCACTTTGCTCACTGCAACTCTCTGATTGGTGGAATCTGATGTGCAGAAATAATAAGATTAAGTAAATTAACTAATTAAATGTTTTGCACGTTTAACAGTTTATAAAGCATTCCATTGCATAGAAGAATGCAAGCTAAGCATCTAAAAAAAAAAAAAACTCACCAAGCAAGTCATTCTGTGGAAGCCATTTCATCAGTTTGACATTTTCAGGGACATTATTAGGGATCTCACCCGTATATCGCCACAACACCTTAAAAAAAAAGAGACATTCAATGGACAGTTTTTTATCAGAAACATCTTACAGTTCATTTTCCTCAGTGACAATCCCAGCTCTCAGTTCAAGTCACCTTTACTTACAGTTGAAATATTTAACCAGACTAGATCTTTCAACACTTTATTACACTTTGCCACACAGATAAGTAGAGTTTTACATAACAATCATGCACTTTAGCGTTGCTACTGTACAGCACATAATTCGTGACAAGCTAAAGATCTCCTTTTTTATAGTGATCTTGTAAGCTCTTGGTGACAGTGGATTTGTGTCTGGTTTAACAGAAATACTATCTACTCCAGAAATGCAGCATCCTGGAGAGTGCCAGATCCTTCTTACAGAACACACAATAACTTTAACGAGAAAAATATGTTTTCCTGGACTTCAATCCTCAGTCATAGTGTAGCTAAAGCTCTGCGTGCAGCCTCCACTTAGTTTTACACTTCAACATGCTGGGGAAACAAGTGGGTAATGTGGACTCATAAATCCTACAATCCTTGAATGAACATCTGGGATACTGAAAAGAATAGGCTCAGGTCACGCACCACAGTGTTTGCACAGGAGGTATAAGCCTGGCATTAGTAAATGTCTGTAGTTCAAAGGATTTCTTTATACCTTTAGAATAACTTCTAAGATGTCCTTAGATTTACTGCTAATACCCATTTCCCTCGTGCATGTAGTTTAGCAAATGCCATCTTAAATGCTTTCTTACCCTCTGTGGAATCATACTGAAAGCCTTGAAGAAGATGTCAGCTTTTTCCTTTGGCATGGAGGACACCAAAGAACCCAGACTGAACACCACAATGCCATGCTCTCCAGAACCATTGACAAATTCCTCCACCTCCTAAAAAAAAACATACAAGAAAAAAAAAAAAAAAAAGAAAACTGATCATGTGATATGTATAATACCAACGTCTGGTATTAAAAGCGTACATGATTTCATTATAAAATCAAAGTTTCAGACCATCATCCCTTAATCAACTCCAAACCATACTGTAGCTGTGAGATTTTCATTAGTCCAGTGTCTTTATATGCTACATGTGCAAAGATAGTCTAGTTTAAAAAGACCCAAGTTAGACTTTACAGCTTTTCCTACATGACAGTAAAAACAAAGGTTTGTAGTATTTCCTATATTTCACAAACATAACACTTCCAAATATTCCCCACAGGCCTGGCCCTTTAAGTACAACTTGGGAATTAATCATCTTGTGTGTATTTTTCCTTTCTGAACCTTTGCTTTGCACACAGAGTTCTGAGTTCAGTATTGATTATTTTTCCAGTGAAGAACCCTTGCTTGAAAAAACAATCCAAAAAAATTTAGCATTCTTGTTTCAGTCCTCACGGAAGGAAGGGTGGCTGACAAGAAATAGTATAGAGACAAAGTGAAGGAGGAGGAGGTTGCGTGCCAAAGAATACACCGAACACAGCGTGTTGCCTAAGGTTACCAATGCCCTGGAGAGGGGGTATCATATTTCCGTGGGTTATGTTTGTATGCGGGTAAACATAATGCATGTCAGGGCAAAGAATTTCAAAGCTCATAAAACGGAACCCATTTTCCCAGAACCAAAATTGACCCCAATCCAGCCCTAAAATACAGACGATATATATTTCCTCCATAGGAAATCTCAGCCTAGGACTAGTAGTTAGTCAATACTATTTTACTAACAAGCCACTGTAAATAAACTTTATATATTACCAATGTATTGATAAATTTCATTTGGACCGTGACCAAATTCAAAACGCAGGTCCAGAGGAAACCTCTGGTGACTTACTGCAGAAATTTCAGCACTCTTCTGACAATGAAGACTACATCTAGCATGATAGGCCTGGGATACTCAAATGTAAAATCATATCTATACAACCAAAAAGCTCCATGGCCAATGACAAGCAAAACAGGACTGTAAAATAAAGTTCTTCTCATTTAGGTATTTAAGATACTAAAAGATACACAAATGTCCTTTGAACATTGGACTTCCCAGTTACAGCTTTGTACCTTTTTTCTAAGTGTACTACTAATACTACAGCTAATTAACATTATCATATATTTAGGTCATAATAAAATGGACAGCTTTTCTATTAGTTGCTTTAATAATTACAAAACTGTTGTTGATGCTACAGACTTACTTTTCAAATAAAGTATAAAACTACTTAGTCAATCAATACTAAACATGCTGAATAAACTTAATATATAACCAATGTATTGATTAGGGTAATTTGGACCTTGACCAAATCAAAAACACAGTTCCAAAAGTAACCTCTAGTGACTTACTGCAGAAATTTCAGCACTCTTCTGACAATTGATGCCCCCAATGAAGACCATATTTGGCATGATAGGCCTGGGATACTCAAATGTAAAATCATATCTATGCAACCAAAGAGCTCCTCGGCCAATGATCTCCTTGTACGTCACATCCTTCTTCAAGTATCTTGCAGCTAGTTCATCAAAACTGGCGTACATTACTTTACACAAAACCAGTTCGAAGCCACTCATGAAAAAATTGCGAATGCGTTCCACAAAGTTCATTTTGTCAGAGGTGCCAGAATGAAACCGAGGTACATATGATGGAGGGGAAGGACACTGTGAAGCCAACAAGTCAATTCCGCAAGGCATCCCACGGAGGAAGTAGACTGCAGGGACCCCGAGTGCTGTAGCAATAATAGGTCCACAGGGAAGGAATGGGTCGGTGAGCATCAATTCAAAGTTCTGCTCCTTCAGCTTCCGCATCAATGGTTCATTGTAAAGCAGAGATTCACATCCTTCTACCTGCGATCCCGTGAAGTTCAACAGCCGCTCCAGTTGTACGAAGACGTCCATCAGCGCAGGGCTACGTGTGAAGACTCCCTGCTGAAATCCTTTCAAACTCTTTGACAGTTGCTCCTTGGATATCTTTACCGGAAAAGTCTCAGTACGGAAGAGCTCTGAACTCTGGATCAAGATGTTTTTCTCAGGCACCAGGACCAGAACGTCATGACCTCTTCGGGCCAGTTCTGTGGCCAGTACCTTCATGCTAAGCCAGTGACTGCCTTCAACAGGCATGACCAGAACCCGGCCACCCTGCACAGGCCTCAGCCCGGCACTCAGCCAGAGCAGCAGCAGCCCTGAACCCAGCCCCCACAGCCAGCCCTTCTTCAGCATAACTGGGTCTGCCGAAGACCTGACACAAGCACTAAAAGAAAAGGAAAGCCCAAAACTCCTCCTCCAGGAAAAGGGGCTGTGTTTATACTCTCTCATGTGTGACTGAGAAACAAGAGAGTGGAAGAAAGAACAAGAGGGATTGACATTTGTCTGTGTTTTGGGTTACAGATGTTAATCACGCACATTTTTCTGTCAGCCAATATCACGAAAAACATTTCCTAGAAGGAATAAAAAAAACAACAACCCTGCTTTACAGAGCCAGCAGAGTTACACAAGACCCTTCTTTAATGAAATGCATTAACACAAATGCACAAAAAGAAGAAAACACACTATTGCTAATTCATAAATGACTAGAGTTTAACAAATATGCAACATTATTCATCGCAATTATTTATTGTTCACAGCATTACTTATTAATCTTTAGCAGGAATAACTATATTTAGCATTAAGCACCAGTCCTAAATAAAAAAACTCAACTCAGAAACCAATTTACGGCCAGCTGTACAAACTCAAGAGCGTTTGGAGGAAGAAATGTAACTGTTGTCAGGTTGGCAGAAAAGGGAACTCCCAGCAGCACCTCCCCCTTCCCCTCAAACCCAGCTTGCGTGAGAAGCTCGCCACTCCTTTCCTTTCCATCTCCTCATGTTCAAGAGATAACCTGACCAAAAATACACCCCTACATGCTTTCTAAATTGCATTCCAATCCAAAGTGAATATCCACATATTTCGGCAGAGAAGGGAAATTAGCTATTTGCTGAAAGAAAGACAATTGAAATAAGCTATACTGTGGGATAGTTTTTGTCTTTTTCTAAGAGTCTATTAATCTATTGAATGATATAAAAAAATCCCCTCAACTAGACTAAATCCTAATAAATATTACAACTACATGTTCAGAAAAAAAAGGTACAAACACTGTCATGCCGATGATAACCTTTCCCAAGTTAAAAAATAAAATAATATGGGCTTTAGTTTACTCTACAGTACTGAATGTCTACTTTTCTAACCATGAAACACAGAAAGTAACTACAGTAAGTGGGTTAAGGTCAATATCAGAGGTAGGTTTGGGGAAAGTGTCTATAGTTCTTACCCAGGTTACTGACAATGATAATAATTATGCTGGAATATGTACAAGCAAAACAGAACTGTAAAATCAAGTTCTTCTCATTTAGGTATTTAAGGAACTAACACATACACGAGTGTCCTTTGAACATTTTAATTCCAAGTTATAGCTTTGTACCTTTTTTCTGTGTACTACTAATACTACAGCTAATTAACATTATTATATACACTAACTGGCCACTTTATTAGGTACACCTTAGTACGGGTTTGGACCCACTTTTGCCTCCAGAACTGCCTTAATCCTTTGTGGCATGGATTCAACAAGGTCTTGGAAATATTCCTTAGAATTTTTGGTCCATATTGACATGATAGGATCATGCAGTTGCTGCAGATTTGTCGCCTGCATATCCGTAATGCAAATTTCCCATTCCACCACATCCCAAAGTTGCTCTATTGGATTGAGTTCTGGTGACTGTAGGGGCCATTTGAGTACAGTGAACTCATTATCATGTTCAAGAAATCAGTCTGAGAAGTTTCGGCTTTATGACATGGCATGTTATCCTGCTGGAAGTAGCCATCAGAAGATAGGTACACTGTGGTCATTAAGGGATGGGCATAGTCAGCAACAATACTCAGGTAGGCTGTGGCGTTGACACGATGCTCAATTGGTACTAATGGGCCCAAAGTGTGCCAAGGAAATATTCCTTACACCAATAAACCCCCAGCAGCCTGAACCATTGATACAAGGCAGGATGGATCCATGTTTTTTATGGTGTTGACCCCAAATTCTGACCCTACCATCATAATGGTCGCAGCAGAAATCGAGACTCACCAGACCAGGCAACATTTTTGTAATCTTCTATTGTCCAATTTATTCATTTCGAACAATGTATAAAACTGTAATCTTTCAACCAACACACAGAAATTGCAAGCACATGAAGTACTGCCAAACTACAACAAAGTAACCCAGTAAGATCCACTGACCCAGTCATGAGTTTAAGAGTTACAATATGTTTTCATTGTAATCATCCCCACCCATGTGCTGTGGGAATACAACACTAGCCGATGAACTCATGTTTACATCTGGAGTATTTGGACTTAGAGAACAGTGACCCCTGTCGTCATTTTAGGAAACAAGAAAAAGTTGCTGCTGTGTGGTACAACAAGAAATAAATAACAATCTGACTATTCATGAAGGGTACCAACAAAGAAGCACTTGTTTTACCAGAAGGGAGCCTTCAATGATTACGCAACTGCATTCTATGTATGCGCATTTACCCCGAAAAATCCAGAGCATAATTATAGAAACTGCAGCAGCCTGCAAATCATTGTATAATGCACAGTCTTAACTTCACCCATGACCTACCATGGCTGAAGGGAAATCTGGGTTTAACACATAGCCTAGTACAAAAAATGCTTTATTTCTTATGCTTAGAGAACAGATTTAGCCTAGTTTGCTGCCTTTCCAGTTTACACATATGTGTGTTTAGCAGCCATGGTGTAGCTATTTATTTTAGGGTTTACTTTTAGGTATTTCCATAACAGTGTTTTTCATTAATAGATTAACACAGACTTATGGCATGGTGCAAAAAAAAAAAAAAAAAAAAGTAATACTGAAAAAAAGGGGCTTTAATATTACTTTTTTACATACATGTAAAATACAACCACTCCTCAAATGTTACACAACAAAATAACAACCATCAAGACAGTAGATTCATTAAGATAGAGAAGGAATAAAACACTACAGAAATATATCAGAAGCAAGGGCAATTAATGACTTAAAATAGAAACAAAGTCCAACTTATTTTTTCCCTCTTTTAGTTGGCTGAGATCCCAGGACCTTTGTCACACTTTTTAAACTGGGACAGATAATAATGGTAGCTTTGAAAAGATTGTTCACACATTAAGTTCAAAGGGTCAATGATTAACACATAAATCTGGCCTTTTTTAAAAAGTTGAGCTATTCCTCGCCTTATTTAATCTGCGATACTCCACTGTGGATCATTTATAAGGACTATTAATAACAGACTATGTTTACATGGACACCAGTAACCGAATTATAAACCGTAATCTGCATAAAGAGATAATATGATTAAGGTGTTTATGAGCTTTTGGGCGGCATGGTGGAGGTTGAGTCCTAGCTGGATAAGTTGGCATTTCTGTGTGGAGCTTGCATGTTCTACTCGTGTTGTTTTGGAATTTGTCCAGGTGCTCCGGCGAAGTATATGAATGTGGATGAATGCGAGAGAGTATTGGTGTATCCCAGTACTGGCTTGTGGCTAAAAGAGCATCCGCTTTGTAAAACATTTGTTAAAATAATTGGTGGTTCATTACGCTGTGGCAGTCTCTGATAAATCAGAGACTAAGCTGAAAGAAAATTAGTGAATGCATTGCTTTTAGAATGTTCCTGTATTTCATGATATAATCATAGTTTACAATACATAGTGTGGTAATGCAATGACCTCAATCAATCCATCCAATTTTATTCCAGTTTCATTTTTCTTTTGATTTCATCAGCTGTTAAGCAGGTTTCATTCAGGGACATTTCATTCATGCACCAGTGACAAACTGTGAGGTACTTTCACACCACATGTTTTTAGCTGACTGGGAGAGAGTTTGACTGAAAAGAAAATGTACATGTTTCTTATAATGTAGTGGTGGAGCACTCCCTGTGCAAACTAGCCAATTTCCCAGCTGTGTAATATTATTGTGCCTACTGCAGCCATGGAACGACAGCAAAATTCCTTCATTATTAGGCCGAAATGAGGGCATATCTAGACATATTAGCCTAGAAAATAGCATCTTTAATTTTTCTATCGGGCTTAGTACACAATATAAGAGTCTAGCTTTAAATTAGAAAAAAATTTTGAGCTACATTCTAATCCAATTCAGTGATTTATGCTAAGCTAAGTTAAAAGATCTCCCGACAGACTGGATACCAGTACAATGGATTCAAAAAAAGATTCAACTCAATTGTTTAACTCTAGGCAGGTACACTGTAATAAATGCTGGGTTTCATGCAATCCCTTCATGTCGTCCCAGTGCAGTCGATTAATTTAACTTATCAATTTGTACACTTTTAGGGTGATTAAACATAAAACAATTTAAAAAACACTCAAGAATTGTGTCATTTCAGCTCATTTTAAATAAGTAGTTTGAACAGGCAGCAAAAAATATTTAAGTGTAATCTACACACTACCTGACATAAGTCTTGTCGCTTATCCAAGTTTTGGGAACAAATAATAACGTCTTCTGGTTGATCATTTGGAATCAGAAGTGGCTTAAATGAAAGGCAAAGGCTTTAGATTACACATATTTCACCAAAATAAAATATGATCATGCCTTGATTTTTAATAATATATGACAGTAAAGTCTGACTTTTCTTGGACAAAAGTCTTGTCACTTAACAGAAATAATGTACAGTATAGAATATAAAGTCATGGTGCAGTGGGAAAAGAATGAATATTGTGTATGACTCCCATGAGCATGGAGGACTGCATCCATACATCTCTGCAATGGCTCAAATAACTTATCAATAAAACTATCTGGAATTCCTGCAGGACTCCCAGAGTTCATCAAGATTTTTTGGATTCATCGTCAATGCCTCCTCCCCCATCTTACCACAGACAAGCTCAATAATGTTCATGTCTGGTGACTGGGGTGGCCAATCCTGGAGCACCTTGACCTTCTTAGCTTTCAGGGACTTTGATGTGGAGGCTGAAGTATGAGGAGCGCTATCCTGCTGAAGAATTTGCCCTCTCCTGTGGTTTGTAATGTAATGGGCAGCACAAATGTCTTCATACCTCAGACTGTTGATGTTGGCATTCACTCTGCAGATCCCTTGCATGTGCCCATACTGTATGTAACCCCAAACCATGATCTTTCCTTCACCAAACTTGATTGATTTCTGTGAGAATCTTCTGTCCATGCATGTTTCAATAGGTCTTCTGCAGTATTTGTGATTATTGAAATG